ATATATTCTTTTATTTTTATGAGTTTTAGTTGGTTCTTTTTCAAACCTATATTTAAAAATAATTTTGTATACTTTGCTTATAGTTCCAATTCTTTCTACTATTTTCTAAACACATTAAACATGCTTATTACATGTTTCATTTTTAACTAATCATGTAAGTTCTGTATCTGAACATACAAATATGCACAGTCTCTGTAAATTTGGTTATGCTTTTGATTGCTTCTGCTTTCTCTTGATCAAGGTGTCTTGATTCTTTGTAGATTTTGCTATTTTTGCTGGTGGCTCACATCCACTGTTAGTTTATCTATGGAAAAATCTGTAAGAACCTGGCTAAGTATAYAGTTGTCTAGGTTCCCTGTAGGACTTACGGGATGACTTGCACCTAGGGTTTCTTCTGATCCAGGTTTGCTCTCTAATTTCTCATAATAAAGTTTCTGATGTTTTTGTTTTTCAAATGCTCTTTTTCCCTTGAAAGTACCATGAACCAAATATTGTTGAATATGTGGTGAAATGCTCAGAGAGCTTTGGGGTACGGCTCAGTGGTAGAGTACTTGCTTAGCATGTGTGAGGCCTGGATTTGATCACCAGCACTGCCAAAACAAAACAAACCAAAACAAGTGCTCAGAGGTACACAGAGGTAGTAATTAGTCATCAAGTGGRAAAGATGCAATAATAATGCTTGGAGACCCAATTATTTAGTCATCCCTTGGTGATCATGGGGGATTCATTCTAGCACCCCATCCCCCCATGCCAAAAGGGTAATCAAGTCCCTTAAATAAAATGGTATATGCCTGGCATGGTGGCACACTCCTGTAATCCCAAGTACTCAGGAGGCTGAGGCAGGAAGATTGCAAGTTCAAGGCCAGTTGGTGCAACTTAGTAAAACCCTWTCTCAAAATAAAATGAAAAGGGCTGGGGATGTAGCTCAGTGGTAGAATGCAAGGCCCCAGGGTTCAATACACAGTACTAAAAAAAAGAAAAAGGTGTAGCATTACCATATAACCTGTATGTAACTATCTGCTTACTTTAAATAATCTCTAGACTACTTATAATACCTAATACAAGGTGAATGCTATGTAAGTGAATGTTCTACCRTGTTATTTAGAGAATAATGACAAGAAAAATGTCTGGACATGCTCAATACRGATGTAATCTTTTTTCCTAAATATTTATGATTCACAGTTGGTTGACTTTGCTGGTATGGAGGGCAGACTATATTTTAGTAATCCTTTTTGGAAAGAAAATGGCCACTCTACCTAGTAGAGGACTAGGGAAAACAAATACACATGAAACATCACCTACTTCATTCTTAAACAACAAGTATTTATTAAATTGCTGCATGTAACACATTTTACCTTTGCAYTGAAAGAAAAGGGAGGAGGATTAAATTATAATGGCTATAAATAAAATAATATTAATTATTTCCTACTAGATATGAAATCAAAATTACTATATGGAGCAAATATCAACTTAAAAGGATGTAGAAGTCATAAAAATAGGTGGTGTGTCAGTCAGCTTCTCATTGCTGTGACCCAAATACCTGACAAGAACAACTTAGAAKAGGAAAGGTTTATTTTGGCTCATGGTTTCAGAGGACCCAGTACATGGTGATTCCATTGCCAAAGGGCCTGGTGGAGGAAAGCTTCTCAGTTCATCGCAGCCAGGAAGCAGAGTCAAAGAGACAGAAAGGGGCCAGGGACAGATATAGTCCCCAAGGCTATGTTCCCAGTGACCTACTTCCTCCAGACATGCCCCATCTATTATTTTCACCACTCTCCACTAAATCCTTTCAAACTATTAATTTATCACATGGATCAATCCATTGATGAGGTCAGAGACTTCATGATCCAAATCTTTTCACCTGTGAACATTGCTGCATTGCCTGACACATGAGTGTCAGGCTCCTGCACTTGTACCTGCTCAGTTCATGAATGGAGCAGCTTTTCCTCTGCTGGACYCTTTCCCCATGATGTGCTGGCTCACCTTGGACCCAGAGTAATGGAGTTGGCTGCCTATGGACTGAGGCCTTTGAAATCATGAGCCCTAAATAAACACTTCCTCCTATCAGTTCTYCTTGTCAGATATTTTGGTCACAGAGATGCAAAAGCCGACTAAAGCACCTATTGTGTGCCAGCCAGAATACTAGGAACAAAATGGACAGGATGCCTACCCCCAGTTTTCTATAGAAATCATGAGATAGAGATTTTGAATAAAGGGAAAGATATTGAGTCTCAAAGGAAGTGCCTATAAACATTGATATGCAAAAATAATTGCAACTCCTTGGTGAGGAGCCCTTGGCTGGCACCCTTGACCCATGCATGCCATCGTAACATTAAGGCAATGTACAAGCACAGAGAAAACTTGCACAAAATTGTGCAGCTCCACCCTGCTTCCAGCTCTAATCCAGCCCTTCCCACCAGCCCTCTATAAATATTAACACCCCATATAAATGGTTTGCTATCTCCCTTGAATACGTTTTTCTTGCTTTACTCTAAATGCACTTCTCTCAAAATTGCCTCTTTGAATATGTATGTACTTTCCTAAATAAGCCTCTGTCGGTGCCTTTGACTTGCACACACTGAAATTTTTTTTCCGTCACTTATGCCAAGAACCCCACTGGTCTTGAGTCAAGTTCYCCCTTCTCTCTAGAAACTCCTCGGACTCTTCTTCAGAGACATGTCTTCTGTACAATTCTACCTCTTCAGAATAATAAAAGCTTGAATTTTYTACCAGACTGTTTTAGTCGGCTTCTGATCTGCTGTGTCCAAAAGACCCAACAAGAACAATTTAAAAGAGGAACCCCTATTTTGGCTCATGGTTTTAGAAGTCTCAAAGATCTCTGAGATCTCAATCTACAGACTGTGGACTCCATAGCTCAGAGTCCAAGGTAAGGCAGAATATCATGGCTGAAGGGTGTGGTGGAGGAAAACAGTTCAAGACATAACAGCCAGGAAGCAGATACAGAGCTCTGCTCACCAGGAAGGAAATATAAACTCCAAAGCCAAGCCCCAGTGACCTACTTCCTCCAGCCACACCCTGTCTTCCTACAGTTCCCACCCAGTTAATCCGCATCAGTGGAGGATCTAATAATTTCACCTGTGAACATTCTCACATTATTTCACACATGTGCTTTTGGAGGACACCTTATACCTTAAGCACAAAATAGACTAATATCAAAGATAATAAAAATAACTAATTTGGCTACTTATAATGATGACCCATAAAGCCTTCTCCACTTTTTTTTGTTTGTTTGGTTTTATTTTTAAGTTTTTCTCTTTCCACATTTTTATTGGGTACATTATAGCTGTATATAATGATGGGATTATTGCTRCATATTTGTATGGGCACACAATATAACAATATAATTTGACCAATATCACTCCCCAGAACTGCCACTCTCCCTCTCTTCCTCCAGCCCCCTGGTCCTTTTCCTGTACTGATTTCCCTTGATTTTCATGAGATCCCTGCCCCCTCTTCTTATCCTTGTTCCTCTCTAGTTTCCACACATGAGAGAAAACATAAGACCCTTGACCTTCTGAATTTGGTTTATTTTGCTTAACATAATGGTCTCTAGTTATATCCATTTTCCTGCAAATGACATAATTTCAGTGTTCTTTATGGCTGAATAAAAACTCCATTGTGCATATCCATTTTCTTTACCCATTCATTTATTGATGGGCACCTAGGCTGGTTCCATAGTTTGGCCTTTGTGAACTGTGCTGCTATAAACATGATATGCWTGTATCACTATAGTATGGCGACTTCAATTCTTCAGGATAAATGCTAAATGAGGAATGGGTCCTCAAAAAGTTAGGAATGCATCCACTAACTCTTATAACAATTCTGTGAGGTAGACAGGAACAATATTACTTGACCCCACTTCACACCTGGAATACTACTACAACACAGTAATACTCGATTTCTAGTACTAAATTCTTTACATTCGTTATCTTATTGATTTCTCCTAATAACTCTGTAGGTAGATACTATTATYTCCCTCTTTTCAGACTAGGTAATAACGAAGTTTAAGTAACAATGTCCAAGAGGACATTTATTGTTACAGGCAATGGAACCCCAGTGCTCTCTGCTGCAGAAAACGTAGCTGAACAAAAACAGCCAGTGGAAATGCAGAACTAGTTCAGGCCAGAAGACCTTTAACATTATCTGATAGATTCCCAAAGATGAAACTATCTTAATCCCAGGGTTTGAAGATGAGAAGATTCTGGCTAACTGGCTTAAAAAAAAAAAAAATCCACCATAACAAACAATTTAACTACTGCAGTAATTTGGGAACAGAATACTTTCCTAGTATTTCCTCTGGAAGCAATGCTTACATTTAAATCAGGAACACTCAGAAGGAGGAGGCRGAATTTCGCCAAACCAAAACACAGCCTCCTGCAATCCTTATCCAGCTGGATGGTGAACATCCCTGCTGGAAGCGGGTTGAGGCAAACAGGTTAAATCACACGAATTAAATGGCACAAGAGCTGAAAGGGACCATGGAAATAATGGATGGATACCAGTGTGCAGCCCTTTCTGAAGGACAGGATGTTCCCGGGCCTCCAGGAAAACATCTTGGTGCTAGAAGACGTTCCCTCTTTCCTCTTTCTTTCAYTTGCTTTCTCTTCTTCTCCCGCTGCCTTCGTCCTTCCTTTCCTTCGGTAAACCCTTTTTTAAAACGAGATGACCATAAAGGYCTGGTCCAGCTGGTGTTAAATTTCTGTGGGAAGAAGATGAACCCGATTTCCCTGCGGATTAAAACATGATTAAATCAAGGTCGCGCTCCTTCTCCCTCCCCCAGGCCAGGTCCCCGCCCCAGGGKTGAAGGACGTGCTAGCCCGGGTCAGGCAGCACCGCGGGGCTGGGGAGGTGCCTGGGTTGCTCCGGGGCAAATTGGGCAGGTCCGGGCAGCGCTGGGCTGCGCGGTCTCCCAGACAACGGACAGCGGGCGGGGAACACACCACCCAGGGCCGGGCAGAGATCGCGCAGCCTCTGGCACCATGACCGACTGCAGGCGGCTCTTGCGGTCGGGGACGCTGGCCCCGGTGCCGGAGCGCCGGTACTGCGGGMCCCGGTAAGCGGCGCGCGGAGGCCGCGCGAGGGCGCCTGGATCCTGAGCTCGCGGGGCCCGAGCTGGGGCAAGGGCGGGGGCAGGGGTGGGTGGCCGATGGGCAGAGGGCTGGGCGGAGGCCCCRCCTGCCTTTCTTCCTCTGTGGCTCCTGCACTTGTACCTGTACAGTCACGCAAAATAACCAGCGCTCCAAGCGCCTAGCAARGGACCCCTCCTTCCCTCATCCTCACAACTACCGAGGGGCTACTCCACCAGATAGGAGACTGATGGCCACGGAGTCAATCGTGGAGGCTGCCCTAGCTAAGCCTTTGAGCTTCGATCCTCTAACCCTACCTTTTCTTTCCCTCGTTGGCCGACTGYTCCACAGATGCCTTGGTTCCCCTGGATATTTGTATCCAGTGTAAAGCATTAGSGGTACCTGGAGCCTTTGGCAATCCAACTGATGGCTCTAGCCAAGCCGAGCCCCTGGTGGGGTAATGAATCAGGTGCTGGGGAGGCCTCCCACCTTTTTGAAGGGTTCTTGTCACAGCCACTGTGGGCAGGAACATGAGACTTTTCCTTTTGCTAATTCATAAGAATTGCTTTTGGCTCACGGTGGAGGCTGTTCCTAGTGGCGGTTAAGATGMCAAAGTCTAGAATCAGAAAGGCCAGGTCTCCTCATGCTTGCCTGGTGACCTTAAGTAACTTAGCGGCTCCTTCTGGGCTCACTTTTCTTAACTGTGAAATGGGAACAATAAAAGGAATCAGCTTTATAGAATTGTTGGGGTGATTAAGGGAGGTAGCGCATGGAAACCTGTCACTGGCATATAGTATGCACTGTATATATGTTAGCAATTATGAACTCTTTGAGATTTTGGGTCCCTCCCTCCATTTACACCCTTTTTTTGTTTTGAAATAACTGTAGACTCACAAGAGATTGCAAAAAAAGTTCAGAGTTCCCACACATCCTTCCCCCTAGCTGCTTCCAAGGGTACTATCTTACATAACTATAGTCCATTACCAAACCAGGAAATTGACATTGATATAACTTAGTAATTAGACTACAGACCTTCTCTGGATCACGGCAGTTTTTACCTACACTCCTGTGTGTGCATATAGCTCTGTGCATTGTCATGTGTATACTGCAAGATGCAAAGTGTTTCATGACCACTAAGGAACCACTTTGTACTATCTCCTTCTCATCACTCCTTTCCCCATCCCCTAACCCTTGACAACCACAAATCTGTTCTCCATTTCTATAATTTTGTTCTTTTAAGAATGTTAGCTAAGTAGAATAATACAGTGTATAACCTTTTGATTTTGGCTCTTTTTCACTGGTCATAGATTCTTGAGATCCATCCAAGTTGTGTGTATCAACCATCTGTTCATTTCTAGTCACCTGTTGAGAAAATGCAGGTTTTTTCCAGCTTCTTTTTCTACTGCCTATAAAGCTGCTATGAACACTATGTTAAGGTTTTTGAAAGAACTTAAGTTTTCATTTCTTAGGGTTAGGGTTAGGCATGTATCTCAGTGTTAGAGTACTTACCTAACATGTGTGAGTGAGGCCCTGGGTTCAATCCCCAGTGCTGAAAAAAAAAAGACCTTTTTTTTTCTTTTTTTCATTTCTTTATGGTAAATTTCCAAAGTTCATTGCAATTATTATGGAGGGAACTAGCCATATGTCTTATACTAGTGTCTGTGAAAATAGTATTGGTTGGGGGAAAAAAATGTTGGGGGAGCTGGGGATGTGGCTCAAGCTGTAGCGTGCTTGCCTGACATGCTTGGGGTGCTGGGTTTGATGCTCAGCGCCATTTAAAAATAAAATAAAGATGTTGTGTCCACTGAAAACTAAAAAATAAATATTAAAACAATTCTCTCTCTCTCCCTCAAAAAAAAATGTTGGGTTTTTTTGGGTTTTGTTTTTTTGGTGGCACTAGGGATTGAACCCAGGGGTACTTGACCACTGAGCTACATCCCCAGTCCTTTTTGGTTTTTATTTTGAAATAGAGTCTCACTAACTTACTTAGGACCTTGCTAGGTTGCTGAGGCTGGCTTCCAACTTGAAATCCTTTTGCCTCAGCCTCCCAAGTTGCTGTGATTATGGGCATGCACTACTATGCATGGCAAAAAAAGTGTTTTCAATTTTATGGGTCAAGCAAGATTTCCTGGGCTTAACAAAATACAGAGAGGTGACAGATGTCTATAATGCCAGTGACTCAGGAGGCTGAGGCAGGAGGATAACAAATTCAAGGCTAGCCTCAGCAACTTAGTGAGATTCCCATCTCAAAATTAAAAATAAATAAATAAATATAAATAAGTCTGGGAATGTAGCTTAGTGTGAAGCACCCCTATTCCCTACAAAATGCAGAGAAGTGAGCTCTTTAGCTCTATGAGGCTATGTGAAGTAGATGAAAGCACTCCCTCTAGCCTCGCTCACCTCCCAGAACTGTTTCTTCATTGAAGGTGACAAAGGTGGTCAAGATTTCTTTCAGGGTTTCTGCCAGCTCTAATGTTCTAAGAAGCCTGGACTAGGTGCTCACATTTCCCATTTTGAATTGTATGGCTATGCTTAAGCGAAAACATTTGTTGTCAGATTTGATTTTAAGAAGTGCTTGGATAGTTGAGTTAGTCATAAATATGTGGAAAATAAATGTGAAAATAAGGAGGGTTACTTGTCATGCTGAATGGGTTGTTAATCTCAAGCTTAGATGCAGTTTCAACACCTTCTGCTTTTAGCTATCTGACAGTGATTTATACAAGGCAGAGAGCAACTTTCTACAAGTCACCCTTTTGTGTCCTTTCATTTAAATTTTCACAGTAGAGCTGGGTTAAGCCTGTACCACACACACACATATACACACACACATACTCACAGCAAATAAGAARCTTCTAGGTTTCACCAGAAAAGAAGAGGGACAAGGCTAGAATCTTTTAAAAATGCTTAGTGGCTATGGTTACCGTAAGGATTAGATTGGATGTAAAGAGTCACTTTTATTGATAAGAGGGAACTTCAGGTAGAAGAGGCTTCAAAAGACACCAGTGCTCCACGAAGATCTGACCAAGGACCTGAGATGTGTTAGGATAACCAGGGCTCAGGTTCCAAGTCCTGGCTTTGGCTGGTTGTGTCAGGTTATAGAGGAGCTGGTTTCATGGCTTCCATCTCATCTTCATGACCTAAATACTCACTGCAAACAGGGGCCTGGTGGGTAAGGAAGCTGGCTGAAGCAGGCTGCTTAAGAGGCAGTAGGGAGAGGTGGAGGCTGGGAAGGAGACAGCACGTGATTTGCCTGAACTGGGCAACCATTAAGCCATTGGTGGCTCCACAGAAAGGTGGACCCAGTGTTCCCAGATCTTAGAAACTCTCCTGATTTTTCAAGAGGAGTTGGAGTTCTAGCTTGTTTACGTGAACATGTTTCTATATTGGGAGCTCTAATGTAGTTGTTAAGCAGACTTTTCTGGTGCCACACTACCTGGCTTAACATCCCAGCCTTACCACTCTTGAGCTGCTTGAGCTTTGACAACATGCATTGTACCTTTTAACTTCTTGTGCCTCAGTTTTCTTATCTGTAAATGGAAATAATAATAATATGAGATTTAAACATACCAATGCATATAAAGAACTTAGTACAGTGCCTGTCATGTAGGAAGTGCTCAATTTATGTTAATTATTATGATTCTTATTAAAACACAAAGAAGGCCAAGTGACAGGATTATGTGCCACCATCTTGCAGCCTTTCACCTCCTGAGTTTCAGGAGGAACCACAGACCCTAGAGGTTGTATAAAGTGCCAGTGTCACTCGGCTAATTTGTCACTGGGACCCAGATTCTTTCCACTCTACTACACTGTGTCCCATTTAGTGAAAACAAAGGGTCCCTGAAAGGGTCAGCAATTTGAGTGTCTTTCTTACAGAGTTCAAGTCACAAGAATTCAAGAATGAATACAAGATGTGGTGGCAGTAGTTTGAACAGTGGGTTAGACTTATGCTTGGATGGGTCTTTAAAATACAGTGACATGGATGAGTCTTTGAAGTACAGTGCTTTGTAAACAAGAAACAGAACAGTGTCTACCATTTAAGTAAATTAAGAATACATGCACATAAAAGGACAATTCAGATATTTCAATGAGGTGTGAAAACAAAGAATGCACTTCAAATCCGTTAGAGTGGTTTTTCCAATGAGGGCAGTGGAGGTGAGATGTGGGGACAAGATGGAGTAAATAGAGCTAGATGTGGTGATGCACTCCTGTGGTCCCAGCAGCTTGAGAGGCTGAGGTGGGAGGATGACTTGATCTCACAAGTTTGAGATCAACTTGGGCATCRTGGTGAGACCCTATCTTAAATTTTGAAATAATAATAATAAAGAGAATAAAGGAAGCTGGGGTGAGTCTTTGCACAAACCAGTGATACTGTGCCATGAACTTGGAGTATGATCGACTCAGCCTTCTTGTGAATACTTTTTCCCATCATCTCTCCCTCAGAGAGGTTGAGTCCAGCCTCCTTGCGATCTCCTTGTCCCATCCCAATCCTCTGGTCCATAAGATCTTACCTGGTGTCTTCTAGGTACAAAGAGCATCTGCCCTCCGGGTATTTCACTGTGCAYAGAAGGCTGAAGTTCCCTAGATCCCTGAACAGCCAGCGCTGGGTGTTTGTGGGAGAGGGCCTGGACTTCAGGAAAGGCTGTCGGCCTTGTGGAGGTTTAATGGCTMAGGGCCCCAAGGAGGGCTTTCTGCCCATGATTCATCATGGAGTCCCTCCACCACCCTCCAAGAAGAGGCCGAATGAGCTGCCCAAGGAAGCATCCCTGCTCTCCAGGCTCTCGTGGGCCCAACAGGCTCGGAAGGCTTTTGTGGAGGATGTGGAAGCCCGCTTGGCTCTGCATCCCCTGGCTCTCCATCCCCACCTGGAAGAAGCCATGCCTGCCCAGGTGATCTGTCCCGGGGCTTGTGGGATGGGTTTCATGGGGACCTTGGAGAAAATTCTCTGGAGATGCCCAGAGAGTCTCTTTGAGGGGGGGGGACTCATTTATAAGAAGAAAAGAATGCTTCCCAGGGTGACATTCTCATGGGGCTCAGAGAAGCCTTCCTTTCTCTGCCCCCAAGAAACACAAACAGCACCAACACTTATCTTCTCCCTTCACTCCTGTGAAACCATTTGACTTGCAAAGGTACAGCAAACAGGGACATTCTGACTTTCCCCCTCAATCTACTTTGCTTTGTGACTTTTGGGGAGAAGGAGAAATGGAGGGAATTGTTCARTCTTACTTCTGACCCATTAGCTTGGAGCTAGGAGGTGTCCTAAAGTACTTACRGGCAGATGGACACCACACATATAACCTGAAAGGTCATCGGGAAAATCTACCAGATCGTCAAAGCCAAGGCTGGCAGCAGCTCTGTCATGTCCTCAATGTCTTGACTTCTGATGTTCTGCTCCATACTCCTTAGCCTACATCTCTTGTCCTTATATCTAATAATGGTATTAAGTCTGTCTTTCAAATCTAAAGGGGGAAGGGGCAAAGTTAAAGGTACATGCCAGCTGACTCTGTCTCATAATGATGCACAAAATAGCTTTCCCAGGAAACATAACTTCTGGCTGCTAGGGTGTCTAGAAATTGAGTTTCTTAGTTGAGCCCTGCAACCTTGAACGAAACCCAGGTTCTGTTAGATTTGAGGAGAAAGAGCAGAATGGGTAGGGCAGGGCACTAGCAGTGCCAGCTCCCCCACACCACCCTCACAGCCTGTTCATGGTTCACAGAGGTAAATCCAACCATGTCACTCCCCTGCTCAAAACCCCCTCTCATTTGGTAAAGCCAAAGTCCTTCCCTGGTCTGAGAGGCCCCGAGAGCYCCTGCTCTGCTCCCTCTCCACCTTCAGGGCCTGCTCCTCTGCACTCACTCCATTCCAGCCACTCTGCCCTCCTGGCTGTTCTGTGAAACTTACAAGCATGTCTGGTCCCTGTTCTTGTGCCTGGAACACTTGTCCCTAGATGACTGCCTGGCTCTCTCCTTCGGCTCTTTGCTCAAATGTCCCCTTGTTGTTGAGGCCTGCACACAATAGCACTTYCCTTCCACCCTCACCCTTTGTCCCTCCCCAGGCTCTAGGTGTTATCATAGGTCTTGTCACCACTGGCTTCTCACTAGCATTAGTCACTGTGAGCTCAGGGACTTGACCTAAGTCTTTCATTGTGTATTACAATACTTGGCCTATGGTAGATGCTCARTAAATATTTTTAATGAGTAAGGGACTAGTTGCAGAGAAGTTCATTAAGAGAACAGCTGGAATTGCTGATCCATTCATTTCCACCTGGGGATTTTCTTCACTGCCTCCTGTAGGCCCAAGATTCTGAATCCATGACAGAGAGATTGTTTGCCCTTTCTCCTTAAATCTAACAGAACCTGGGTTTCATTCAAGGCTGCAAATGGCACATGGACATGGCATGGGATTATGGCTCTTATTTCCACGTCTGACCTCCCAACTAAATATTTTGGCTTCTTTTTGAGGAACCTCTTTCTATGGTGCTAAGATGGCCACCAGCAGCTCCAGATTTGAATTCCACCCACCACAATCCCAGCCAGAAGAATTACCTCTTTTTGCATGATCCCAGCAAAATCCTGTGCATCCCRCTTAATTGATGAGCCCATTCCTAARCCAGTCGCTGAGGTTCTGATTGACCTGACCTGCCTATAGAGTCAGGACGTGGTTAGGCTGGGTTGAGATCATATGGGTTGAGATGGAGGGAGATGGTGATTCTCCAAAGAACAAAAGCCAGATACTGTTATTCATSGGAGAAAGGATATAGGTTGGGCCAGTCAAAAACCTCAGAAATTCTATGGAGATACTTTAACCCATGAGACCTTTGGGGATGGGGTAGACCCAGYGGCATATTCCATCTAGAGGAGGTGGGACTGCTGTAGTACAAAGCCTGTACACCTCCTGTTCGAGGTGATGAGAGATTTGTCCACAGCACCCCACAAAGTACTTGGCACAGAACTCGGTGGATTGGTTGACTGAAAAGGGCAAACAAAGGGGCCAGTAGGTCACCTTTGCTTTAGAATAGGGGCCCCCTTGCCAGCACCTTTTTCTTTCTTGCTAAGGMTTTTTTTGTTTGTAGCTCTTATTACAGGTGCTGGAAGTGCTTGATCCTGAGAGGAAGCTGGAGGATACTTGGGCTTATTGTCAGRACACCAAGAAAGGAACAAAGGAGCCCACAAAGCTTTCTAAAAACCGTTCTACCCAAGTGTGCCTGGGACTGTGAGTGTTGTTCTTCACCCCTCACTCCTGGTTGTCACCTGACAAAACATTGTAGAAATTACTTTCTCAAAACTTTTCATCTTTAGAATAATCTTGAAGAAGCAAAATAACTAAGCTCTTAAGGAGGAAGGAAAAACGTCCAGGGTCCTGCTCTGAACAGTGCTGATTTCTTAAATGAATATGATTTATTTAGCAATGGTGCAAACATGGGTGTCCACATGACTCTTGTTCAATAAGAGAACAGCAAAAAGCCTGACTAATTGGCATATAATGGTTCTTGAATTATCTATGGCAGGAGCCCYTTTACTCAACATTACTGAGGCCAGTAGATAGTTGGATAATCACCAAAATAATTAATAATACAAGGAAGTGTAAAGGATGATACATAAGTACTTGAAATATTCTAAAGCATGTTTACATTCACTTGCTAATCTTAATATAAAGCCTTTTGGCAAAGTATACTGYTTAAAGTTTCCACTCATTTTTCTTGCATGAACTGCACATTGAAATTTTCCAAAGACTTACACTTAGTAGAAACATCTCTATTTTGTATCACATTCTTGTTTCCCCAATTCACCTAATATTTAATTAAATAATGTAAATACCATGATAAGTATAATTGACATAAAAGAATTTGGGATACATATTTGACTTTTAAAACTCAATGAGCTCACTGGGGTGTGTTGTAGATGGGGAAGAACTATCTAGCAGCCTAGCCACAGAACCCATAATGTTTACAGCTTTGGAGACCCTGGTTACTGTGCTCAGTAGTGGCCTGAAGAGCTCTGTCAGTCAYACAAGTTACCTACATGAAGGTGGATTAAGAGAGAATCCAGTGTATTGAGTCATAATGTTTATTGACCTAAGGTGATAGGTGTTCTACTGTAGTGAAATTTTTGGCCCGTCAGTCTACTCCTTGATGAATTTGGGGAGAGCAAATGGGCATGCTCACCTCAGTTTTTCCCCTCTTCCACTGGGGAGCAAAAAGGCCCATGTGAAGCACAGGTTCTTGCTCCTCCACCCTAGAGGGGAAGTTGACTCTCATCCAGCCCTGCTGGGAACTGTGTGGGAGAGTCCACCAGTATCTGAATTTCGGTTAGCAAGCCCTCTTGGATCTAAAGCCATCATCCAACATGGCTGCTATTAGTAATAAAGGTGATATTTTGACTTTTGTCTTTGGTCTTTGAATTATTTTTCAAATTGCTCAGAACCTGAGTATAGAAGGGAGAGGAGTATTATATGTAAAGATCTATGATAAAATAAGAAATATACATATAGGATCTGCCTTTCACTTTGGGCAGTTTCCTTGTTGAATCCTGCAAAAAATCTCTTGGCAAGAAATTGCAAATGAATGGATTATGTACTTGAAAGAGGAGAAGGTAAAATATAGAGGAAATGAATAATTTTACAATGTTAATAAATTATCATATCACAACATAAGTGCATAACTACATAATGGTGAATTTTTTCTGTAAACATATGATCCATTCCTTTAGATAATATAAAAATTTAACATAAATTTTTTGGCTGAAAACAGAACTGTATTATGTCACAGCTCTGGAGGCCAGACATCTGAAATAAGAATCACTGTGCTGAAATAAAAAATGAGCAGGGTCATGATCCCTCCAGGGCTCCAGGGGATCCCTTACCTCCTCCAGCTCCTGGTGGCTGCTGGCATTCCTTGGCTTGGGCCACATCATTCCCGTGTTCAAGACCAGCAGCTTCAAGTCTGTCTGCCTTCTCCTTTGTGTGTGTCAAGTCTTCCTCTGCCCCTCTTACAAGGACAATTATAGTGGCATTTAAGGCCCACCCAGATAATCCAGGATAATCTCCCCATCTCAAATGCTTTAACTGAATCATATCTGCAAAGACTCTTTCCAAATAAAGTTACACGAGTTCCAAGGATTAGCACCTTCTCTCTTTGGAGGCCRTTATCAGCCTGCCACAGCATAAGGTGATATCTCCCATCTTGATGACAACTGCCCTTGACCAGAACCAGACAAACACACTTCCCTTTTTTTTTTTTTCTGTCTTTTGAAATCACAGCAATCAGGCTTTTATCTCTAGCACTCACTCCTCTGGACTTGCTTAGTTAAGGTCACAATTGAACTAGATCCATCTTCAGTGATCAACACCCTTGATATATCAACAGCCATTGACACAGTTGATGACATCATCTTTCTCATAAGACTTTCTTCATTTGGCTTCTGGAATACTCTTTTCTTGGTGTTTCTTCTACCTCATAGTCCTCTCTTTGGTCTTTGTTTCCTTTTTCCCTCTTCATTTCCTTTAAAGACAGAAGTGCTTTGGTCTCTGACATCTTCTGTTCTGTATACTTACACCCAAGTGACCTTGTCCAGTCCCTCTATTTATAGATAATTTAGTATTTTCCCTCGGGTGTATAATTGGCAGCTCAAACTGGACAAGTCTGAAACTGAACTCTAGATTTCTCCCTGAAACCTGTTCCTCCTCCTGTCTTCTTCAGCTCAATGAATATTTATTGAGGGTTCTATTTAATCGGGTTCCATTTTTCCTATTGTTTCTAGAACAACAGATGCAATCTGCCAACAAATCTTAATGACTTTATTTTTGAGACCTAATGTCTCACCTCTCTACTACTTCTAGTTCATTCCAAGATACCATCATCTCTTGCCTGGATTATTGCAATAGTTTATCAGTTGGTTTTATGCCCTCCACCCTTGCTCCTCTTTCAAATCTGTTTGTCACGTAATAGCCAAAATGATCCTTTAARTTGGGTAGTGCCATTCCTTTGCTTAGAATTCTCCAGTTGCATACTTACTCAGGGCAAAACCCAAATACAGTGGCCTTTAAGGTCCCATATGATCAGGCATCTGTTAACTCTCAGGCCTCTTCCTCTTCTACTCTAATCCTCAACCACTCCTCTCCAGTTATACTGGTCTCTGCTGTTCCTGAACATTCTCATCACACCCCCACCTCAGGGTCCATGCACATGCCTGTCTTTTCTGCCTGGTGTCCGCATGATTTCATATTTCATGCTTTCACCTTTCTTATTTTGGGTCTCTGCTCAGTTATCACTGTAGTAGAGAGACTTTCTGTGTTGAAATGCCATCTGCCACCCCTCTCCATCCCTTTTGCCCCATTTTATTTTTCTTTATATCACTTGTATTCACTTATAAAGACATATGCTTATGTATTTTCTATTTTTGCCTCTTACTCAATCAYAAGCTTTTTGAGGACAGGGACCTGACTTTTATTTATAGCTAATTCCTGACGTCTAATGACTGCCTGACACATATTTGGTGCTTAATAAGTATTTCTTAAATATAGCAAAGGATAATTAATGCCTCATATAGTAACTGTTTGGTGATCTCATTATCTTTAGTCCCAAGAAGACTCCTATGTCACATTCAGGCCAGTGGCTTTATGAAGAAAAGCCAAGTAAAACAGACGTGCTCCATGAAGATGGTCCTCTTCTGCATGAAAATGTACGCAGAGAAGTTAGTGACTTCTGCAAGTGGGCTACCACTCTTGTAAGTTAGCAGGAATACTTAAACCTACTTGAAAAAGTCAATCTCAGAGTTGCTTTCATTCAAAAACAGTTTGAATAAAATATAAATCAAATCATCCAAGTCATAAACGAATAAGTCTCTTCCGTCATTTGTAATAGAAATACCTCTGGTAGGTGAAATTTCTGGAGTTTGCAAGCTTGCAGCTAATTTAAACATTTATGTTTATATCTCACGTCATTGATATGAAATGTTTTTTTATTTTCCATTTCAATGTCAGGAACTTCTTTTCTCTCCTTTATTCCTTCTCCAATCCATGCCTCTGAGTTATATTTATTTCTAAGTACTTGGACAGCTGTGCTTGACTGTAAACTTTACAAAATGTTTTCAGACAGGAAGAGAYTTTTGACTCAGTTATCAAGGACTTTCCTTGCCCTCCTTCAAGAATCTATTGGGGAGGAAGACAGGAGGGAAAAGGGGCAATTATGAACTGAAATCAATTTCCATGCATGTCTGAGATTGTTGGAATAAACCCAACTATATGTAACTATGTAGATCTAACTTTAAAAAAAGAATCTAGTAAGCTACTTATTTCTTTCTCTGAGTCTTTGTAGATGTTTACTTTCCTGATGCTTTCCATGGATTTAAGGACTTCCAGTATTTATTACCAACCCTGCCCGCCATGTTTTGAGTGTATTAGTTGGTTTTAGTTGATGTATTTATTTATCACTGTTTCCTTCGCTAGTGACTACCCTCCAGACCCCAGTATAATTCTGACTGGTTTAAAAGAGAAAAGGGAATTTAACCAGAGGCATTAGGAGGTTGGGCCACAGCTGGATGCAGGTGCTGAAATGTTTTTAGAGGCTGTTCCTATCTTTCCTGCACCCCTCTGTCTCACTTCATTTGCAAGCAGTCTTTCCCCAAGAGATGCCAAAAATAGTCATTAAATTTCCAAGCTTATGTTCTACCAGTGAACAAGTGGGAAGAAAGTAACTTCTTTTCTTTTTAAAAAATATTTATTTTATTTCTTAGTTTTAGGTGGACACAATATCTTTATTTTACATTTATGTGGTTCTGAGGATCGAACCCAGTGCCTCATGCATGCTAGGCGAGCACTCCACCACTGAGCCACAACCCCAGCCCATAACCTCTTTTCAATAGGAAAAAGTTCAGGGCTGAAACTAACTTGAGTCATATGCCTGTGCCTGAATTAACCACTCTGATTAAGAAAATGGAGAATACTCATTGGCTAGGTTGGGTCACATGTCTAACCCTGAGGCCAAGAAGTGAGGGTGTCCATCTCAGCTACARCAGATGGAAAGGGAGGGACTAAACTGGTCAGCATCATTCCAAGTGAATTTGGGGACTAAATAAAGGCAGAGACACAGAAAGTACCTTTTTTKGGGGTTCAGTGACCACTCCTCAGCGGCAGCTTCCACAAGGGGGGCAAGGCAGGCAAAAAAGAGAGCGAGGAGCACAAGCTGAACCCTTTTATTGGGGAGAAGCCATTCAAATGAGGCAAGGGGTCAGGTTTTTGGGGGTTGAGTGTAGCTTCCTGAGGTCTTGCTGTCAGTAGGTTGACTGACATCTAGGAAGGCCACACCCATCTCATGTGCTGTGTGAGGATCATAGGTAGAGTGAGTAAAAAGACAGGACCCTGCCCACCCAAACAGWGGGACAACATTGGTTCAGTCCACCCTGTACGCTCAATGCTCA